ATTTATTATATGTTTTTGGTACTTCTTTTTAAAATTATGTATCAGACGATAATAAGCAGCCATAAAGTTTTTATATCTGTTGACCGTTTCTCAACACCTTAATGTTTTCACATTAATCCAATTGGTTTCACATTTTATCACGTTATTCTGGATGTACATAGCTATCGTATGAACTAGTACAAATCCAATCGGCGAAGATCCTTTTATTTTCCCCCGAGTGGTTTTTGGTAGAAAATATACGAATTTCAAAAAACAAAAATTTAATAATTTTCCTAGGTTGGGTTGGTATTTTGAGATTTGGAAATTCCAGTGATCGGCAATCATGCCCGCCGTCCAAAAGAAGGGCTTTTCCTAAATTATAAAATAAGTAAAAACGATGTTAGTTTCAGTCGGGCCGAACTTTTTATAACCTCCAACATTCAAAATATATAAAATTAATAAGTGCTTGGTAGTGAGATTTAACATCCATAAGAATACAAAATATCAAGTTGGTTGAAAACGAGTCCAAAATACCGATTATTGAAGGGAACCGTTATATGGATGCTACACCCAGACGTAGACGATATATCCCATTTCCAATACCAAACATCCTAGGAGTACTAATAATGCTTGTGCAAAATTTCAGAGCCCGATCTCAAATATTGCGATCCTTATCGTTTGTCAATTTATTATACGGCAAAAATATTCCTCGTCGAAATGTTGATTTTAGATCCGTTTCAGGCAATTTAGAGTCGATTTACAAATGCCCAAGGTAACAATCGAAGGGAGTAACCGATTTCATTATTTTTTGCTTAGATTTATTTATTATCCATGTATCTGAAATTGTGGTTTTTATATAGTTTCGCCCGATTTTAGGTAAATGGTGTACCAAAGTTCTTATACATCTTTCGATTTGCACGAATTAGGTTTAGAATGAATTACTGAATTAGGTTTAGAATGATGTGTGCTAAGTTTCGTTAAAATCGGTTCAGATTTAGATATAGCTCCCATATATTGTTTCGCCAGATTTTAGGTAAATGGTGCACCAAAGTTCCTGGAAATCATTTGATTGGCACGAATTTTTACATAGTGTATTGAATTAAGTCTAGAATGACGTGTGCTAAGTTTCGTGAAAATCGGTTCAGATTTAGATATAGCTCCCATAGTTAGTTTCGAACGAATGAAGGTTAATGGTGTACCAATGTCCCTATATATCTTTCGATTTGCACGAAATTCGGTATAGCCTACTGAATTAGGTCTAGAATGATGTGTGCTAAGTTTCGTGAAAATCGGTTCTTATTTAGATATAGCTCCCATATATAGTTTTGTCCGATTTTATGTAAATGTAAATCTTTTGATTGACAAGAATTTCGGTATAGCGTACTAAATTAAGTATAGAATGATGTGCTAAGTTTCGTGAAAATCATATATAATTCGACTTATATAATATATATGTATATAATTTCGACTTATTTATGTTAACTGTACACCAAATGGGTGTCTGATTGAGATTAAATTTTAAACAGTGCAGCATACCGAATAGCGTGTGTCAAGTTTGCTTTAAATCGAATTACACAAATCTGTCCCACTGTGCACAAACGACTCTAAACTTACCCAAATGAAATGTAATTTAGCATAGGTTCTAAAATCACATATTTAAGTTCGTTCAATTTCATGTCAAAATTCCTTCAAAAAGGCGACATCTTTTCGGAAAAACATATGTAGAATACACCCAATGTGGTGAAGGGTATCGTATAGTCGGTCCAGTCCGACTTTACTACTTTCCTTACTGGTTTATACTAAACCTTTTTAAGCGATAACAATATATGGGCAATATTGCCAATTTTTTAACATAGCCGAAGCGGAGGTTCACCCCTTTATAACTCGGAATTTACTTAAGTATATTAAAAAAAAGTGAATAGTTTTGGGTTAATTGGTCTGTCGTTGCAAATTGTTCATGATATTGACCTCCAAACTTTATTTTGGTGAAAGCTGTGTCTACTTTAATGTAAAAAATGTGCAAAAACATGTGTTGTGTTGAGGCGAACCATTTTTTATGTTCTCTAACGATTTGTGATTAAGCCACTCATTTCACGGTCTTCGTGTCAAAGTAAAACTAAAAGCCAACAAAATACGGACTACGCTCCTTATGTATAATTTTTCAAAATTTTAACTGCATCTACCTTTAAATGATGCTGACATTTTGAAGCTCGATTTTGAGAGTTTTTTTTTTAATTTTACTTCAAGCTTTAATACACATACAGGAATTTTAAAAATCGATTATAAGATTATTTTAGTCGCGAATCTGCGTAATTTGATATGTATTTTGTGTATGTAGTATGCACAGCTTCAGAGTAATACTCATCCGATGGTGAAAATTTCGTGCGATCAAATTTCTAAAAAACCTATTTTTCGGGCCAAATTTTTAGATCTGTCAACAACTGAATGATATGGGTACCCGCGATCAATAAGGTTCTTCTTCGTGAAAATCCATCTACTAGAACGGCGGGAACTGGCCTTCCAAAAACACGAAATTTGGCAAAAAATGCTTTTGAAAATATCGCGGATTTACTTGCGTTTTCTGTGTATCATTTCCGCTTCAATAAATGACCTCATACGGATTTTGATCTTTTTCGAAAAGAGAACTTCAAAAACTTCAGCCGAAAGAGAGATGTACGCAATTTATCTCAAAAATAGATTATGCTGGCACATCCATGGTTCTTAATGGACCACATTGAAATGGTATAGATCGATGCATTTTTTTAGTGTGCACACCGAAATCGGATGCGCGTTAATGGTATATGGAGTTTTCGGAAATTATTCGCGTTTTACCAGTTTTTGGGTACTTCAATGTAACATGTGGCACATCATAGCCGTCAACTGAAATTTCGCAAAATATATATGGATTGGAAGATAAACTTCTGTACTTCCTGGAAACCGCATGCGCATCAAATGATTTTGAGAATTACGCGATTTACACGCAATTTAAAATGTATATTTCATAATATTATTTTATTTAAAGATTTATTCCTATTTATAGATTTCTAAGATTTATCGGAAGGGTCTTGATATAATCCACAAGGTGTATATTTATACACCAAATGTGATTATTTTTAAATATGGCAATTTTTCGGCGAAATTGGTGTAAAATTGCCGAATAACCCCAACATTTTTTTCTGAAATTTCTTGTATAAAATTAAAAAATAAATATGATGACATTATTTTTTCGAACCAAAAACAAATATTTTTCCTCAATATCTTGTTTTGTTGTCGCTGTGATTTACAAACCGCTACACGGACTTGTGCGATTTTGATATCATTTGATTCACCATCGTGTTTAGATTGTGTTGATATTTTTAAATAATTTTTTAGGTGTGTGTATTCCATTAATATATTGAAAATATTGATGTAATCTGCTATATATTTTTTATTTTTCTCATATTTCGCGAATATGTGCATCTTTATCGTGATTATTATAATATATTCATATTCTTATTTTACGGAGGAAGATATATATCAACGTTTTTGGTCAATATAATAAACGGCGTAATTTTAAGATTTTTTTCTTATGCCCAAAATTAAAACCTCGATAACTTTTGCGCGCATCAACCAAAAATTTGATCGCGAACGGTTTCGGAGTCAGAACATTTTTCTCTGTATGTGTACCAAAAATCATTGACGTGCCACAAAAACAAAAAAGGTGATTTTTTGAAAATGCAATATTAAAAAATTGGCAATATTGCCCATATATATATACATATATATATATATATATATATTATATATATATATATTATATATATATTATATATATATATATATATTGTAAGATTAAAGTTATTTTAATTGTTGGTTTTGACCGAACTTAAAGACATTTTACTTGTTTATATTATGATTTATCAAAATTTCCTCATACCTCTAATAATTATGAAATGAAATAATAAAAATTATAAAAAATTTCATTTTAATCCAAATAATTTCGAAGTCATTATTTAATTGCACTAAACACAAAAATACGTCTAAGAAAAAATGCTAATTAATTGTGACAAATTTAAACGAAATGTGAACAATTAATTTCAAACAATTGTTTACAATCAAAAATGCATGTTCATTTATATTTTTGCCACAGCAAACATCTCGAAAACAAAAATTTAAAAAAAAACAACAACAAATATTTCTATTTTGTTCTAGCCCCACCGAAACAGAAAATTTTTGCAATTGACAAATCGCTATGAGTAGAAGTGCTAAATTAAGCATTTACCCGAAATTTCAGAAAAAAAAACTAAAGTTGTGAAAAATATTTAGCAAAGCAATAAATTTTTATGAAAACAAGGCAGCCATTATTTTTGTTGTCCCTTTCTGAACATTTTTTTTACGAATTGCCCAATTGTTTTTTTTTTATCTTTTTTAGAAAATGCGACTCATTATGGGGGAAAATGATGTCGTTCATTTGCCTTTAAATGATTCTTAATAGAGGCATCAACTTCCAATTTGAAAAAAAAAATATTAACAACAACAACCACAAATGAGAGATTTCAATATTGAGATGAATGTGAGCAATCAAAAGACCCCAAAGAAACGCCTTCTTCTTCTTAGTGGCAATCTCAAGTGGTTGTTTGTTGATTCCGAATAAGTAGGGAGGATTATATGGGTGGTACTTAATTCACACATGTTACACAAAATAACCACAACAGACATCTCATTAATTCGTTTCTATTGGAGCTAGAAGAGATTGTTGATATCGCTCTCCCTTTCTCTCTCATTTTCCATTATAGACTTCTAAATATAAATCTGAACATTATTGGTTGAAACAAAAATTCAAATTTGTTCATTTCGTAGCAAATTGAGGATCAAATCCATATGGTGTCTGCCGCCTGTGCACAGCGACAACTTGCCATCGTCCACGGATGATCCACATTCAGTTTGACAAGCGATTCGAAAGTGTAAACACACCAAAATAACGGAATATCATTTTTTTTTTCAAAATATTCGGGAGAAAATTCGTAGTGTTGTGAAAAAAAATGGAAACTCCCGCCGCTGCTGTTCAACGTTATCGCAATAGTTTCTCTATTGAAAATATTCTCTCAAAACCAGTGACAAATTCAAATATTCTCGATACGAATGTTGATGTTGATGATCATGTGAAATTAAAATATAATTTAAATGATAGAATCGCCCAAATGAATGCTGATAAAATTAATCATAATTCGATGCTGAATAGTCCACAAAGTGAATTGAGATCTTCGAGTCCAGAATCAAGTTTTAATGAGGATAATTTGGATGATGCAAAAAGTGATATCACATCAGAGGACGATCATGGTAAGTTGGGTGTTTTGTAAGGCATAATAATCAGGTGCAACATTCGTCATAGAAGATTAAGAAATTTGGCAAAAAAAACTAGATATGGTATCATATATTTGAGGATACGCCATCTGTGAGCTAAAGTTGTCTTGGTTTATGCGACAGTACTATTAGGTTTCGATTTTCAAGTCGCGGCGGAAGCAACAACTAACTTTTTGACTAGTGATAATACAACGAAATTTTCGTCTAAAATTGAGTACCACATAAATGAAAATGCCCCAATAAGATACAGTTTAAACTGTTAATTATACCCTCAGCCTTATGTCTAATTATGGTATACACAATTTGCTTCATCGAAATATTGGTTTTAAGCCCAAAGTCCTCTAGGGACAAATTCGTTTCAGACAATTTGGATTCATCCAGGCTTTGGACCTGGTAAAATTTCTTTCAAACTTAAATCAACATCAAAGATGGCGACTAATTGGTCCAGTCCTTCTAGTACATCTCGCACAGAGTGGTCAACATTTTGTTGAAAATTCATTTTATAATATCATGCCATCGTACTATCCGATTTAAAACAAACCCGTATAATATTTGACTAATTTTAAAAATGGGTAATACTCATATGTGGAGATGGGCAGTGGGTAAATACCCAAAGGGTAAATAACCGGTAAATTGGGTAAATACCCATTTGTGGGTATTTATTTGGGTATTTACTATATTGAATCGGTAATACAACATCTTACACCCTATTTCCGGGTTTCTGTTATCAAATCGATTTAGAATGGATAATTTTACGATACTTTAAAGACGTGGGTAAATACTTGGGTAAATATCCGAGTTTTTACCCAAAAATTGAGTATAAACTCATTAACTTCCGAACCACTTGATATAGGCGGCCAAATTTTTGCATACATGTTTTTAATGTCAAAGCAAATATAGAAATCCAAAATAGGGCCCCTGGGTCCAAGTTTTGATATAGCCCCCATATAACCGCATCTCCCTATTTAAGGTATTTTTTTGTCTATTACACACATTTTACAACCAAATTGGCTGTAATTTGGCACAGAGTGCCGCAAATGGGTATTTACCCGGTAAATACCATCTCTACTCATATGAAGCGGTGAGAACATTAACATTTTTACCAATTTTTCACATTGAAATATTTTTATCACAGCTAGTTCAAGTCCAAAATGGGATCCATCAATTCGCTCCTTTTGGTACCTCCCCAAATAAGGATCAAAATGTAAATAATATGTTCATCAAATGGGAAGGTGGGATCCATAGATCTCCTCCTTCTTGTACCCTTCCCGAAAAGGGAGAAATCTATAAATTAAACTAGGGTAGAATGATACTGTGGTGTCTAAATGGTCAATTGAGGTCTATATACCGAAAGTTTCACCATATGAATTGACAATATGCACTTCATGTGGCAAGGTGACTACACGATCAGATGGGCTTCAGGAAACTCAATGAAATATGGAAACACGTACATATATCTTTTTCGGTCTGAACTTTTTACAGCATCTATCTGAGGATAATGAAACGTATGTCCCATGAAATTTCTAATCCCACTTCAAATGTGGCGAAAATTTTGCGAAAAAAATGAGAGGGATAATTTTATAGGGAAAATACTAAAATATTAAATTTATATCGAAAAATTGTAATGACGTGTATACTTAAAATTGGACTAATGTTGAGACTGATTTGTATAAAGTTTGGTAGGGAGATTTTGTACTTAATCAAAAATTAACCTATTAATTAATCCCTATTTTTAAACCCTCTACAATAAGGTGGAATTAGGGATAGGTAGTCAAGCACACTAGTCGACTTCTAGACTCTTCGATTTCTGGTTCTAACCAAAAAGTCGATTAGATTTTCAACTTTTGAAGACGACTTTTTGATCTTTCGATTTTGTCAAACCTGTTCAATATCGATTTTTGACTTTTATGCCATGTTCTGATGGGCATTCGAACAACGTAGTTCGCTCTCAGAATTACGTTCATGAATTAACCCGTTCTCACAACACTATTCTTAATTCATGTCATCAGAGTTTATTTTTTCAAACTTTTTGTTAATAATCTTTCTCTGACTATAGTATGAACCCATATATATTTACTATTAATTCATGTTTTCCAAGTACATACTTCATAATTAAGGGTCGAACAACGAATGAGAGAGCGAACAATGCTCGCCTGTACATGGCATTACTGACAACTGCAAAATCGATTAAAAATTTGATTTTTATACCCTTCACCACAATGTGGCGCAGGGTATTATGTCTTTGTGCATATGTTTGTAACAGGCAAAAGGAAACGAGTTAGACACGTGACTCCTTTCGAGAATATGCAAAGAATCACTTTCAGAGTCAATTTATGCATGTCCGTCCGAGCGTCCGTCTGTCTGTCCATGTTAAATTTAAACAAGGTACAGGTCGCATTTATGATCCCAATTGGATGAAATTTGGCACAGCTGATTTTTTTGGCCCAAGGACGAACTCTATTGAAATTTAGGAACATCGGTTCAGATTTAGATATAGCTTCCATATATATGTTGGTCCAATTTAATGTTAATAGAGCACCAAAGTCCCTTCATTTCTTTCGATTTACACGAAATTTGACATAGCGTACTGAATTAAGTCTAGAATGATGTGTGTTAAGTTTCGTGAACATATAGATATAGCTCCCATGTATCAATTTCAGGTCAATGTTCTTTCGAAAAGACGACGTCTGTTAGAATACATATGTAGACCATACCAAAGTGGAAGGGTATCATATAGCCAGACCAGTCCGACTTGTTGTAAACAGATAAAATAAAGTTCTCGGATGTGTAAGACTTCCTCAATTTGGGCTTCAAGGTAGTAAACAAATATTTACGAAGAGAATCGAAAGTCGATCTACAAAAGTCGACTTTCCGATCTTCTCAAATACCAAAGGTTGACATCGACTTTTAGACTTCTCAATACAAAAATTCGATTAATTGATTAGTCGAATGTCGATTAACTTATCCCTAGGTAGAGTCTATATTCAATTTGCCGTTCCGTTTGCAACACCTTGAAATATTCAGCAGAGACCCCATAAAGAAAATGTACTCTGGATTAGAATAAAATTCAATGTCGATTGTTGCAAATAAGTTTGAGCTCAGAATATTTTTGTTAAAGCTTTGAAATTTTGCACATCCATTACTAATACTCCTAGGGTAGATTTTTTCGATTCGAACTGGGAATAATTTGGCATATGGGATTTTTGGTGAATAAAGAGCTTCTTTCCAGAAATTATTCAATATAGGTTAATGTTATAAAATAACCCCATAAAATTATCCGTTTAATTTTCGATATGTATATTACATTAATATATCTTTGCTTGAATGACATGGCAAACAGTTTGTATACTTTGATCCTCTCTATATTATAAAATTAAAAAATATCTAGCAGTTATTCTTCTCAAAGATAATTTTAAACCCATTAAACCCTACAATTAATTCGATTTGAAAATATCAGATAGACTTTTTTCAAGTTGCACATTTTTTCAAATTAATTCTAAATTCCATACCCAATCTTATTTTAACAAACATCAATTTAAATTGAAATTGACCACAAAAATGTGTTAAATTGAATTTGAACAAAAAAAAAATAGTTTCACTCATTAGGTGACGATAATTAATCACGACTAATTACAGTCATTACCAAATGACCAATGACACGAGCTAGCTAATATTGGCCAAGAAAAAAAAAGATAAAAAACAAAACAAATAAATTACAAACAAATCGCAAAATAAGAAGAAGCTAAGTACGCTAAGTCAAATTAATTTAAAGCAAATTATTCAAAAACAATTTTGTGAGGCCCACAGCAACACTACTAGAACAGAATATTGCGACATTCAATGCGTACAATGGCAATTGTCGCCATTTCGTTGTGTAAAACAAGAGAATCATAAAAACCGATCCCATTATCACCTTCGCTCGTCACTCGACGAAACAGAAAATAAGAAGAGGAAATCATTCGCATCTTGTTTGCCTGAGTGGCTGCCTGTCATTCATTGGTTGAGTTGGCTGATGGCGCAAATTTGTATAATTAACAAAAGCCAATTGGCCATTTAGTAATGTGAACATACACACTAACACATTTGAACAATGAAATGAGCATGCCAATTGTGAAGATGTATGTGTTCGTGGTATTCGTTCATATGGGTCACTACATCACTGCTAGAAAATATTTAAAAAAAAATATAGTAAGAAAAGTGGTAAAGTCGGGCTGGCCCGACAACATGATACCCTTTACCTCTTTGGAACTTTGAACACATCATTCTAGACTTATTTCAGTACGCTATGCCAAAACTCGTGCAAATCGAAAGGTATATAGGGACTTTGATGCAACATTTACCTAAAATCGGGCGAAACTATATAAGGGAGCTATATCTAAATCTGAACCCATTTTCACGAAACTTAGCACACGACATTCAACACTTAATTCATTACGCTATGCGAAATTTCGTACAAATCGAAATATATATAACGACTTTGGAGAACCATTTACCTAAAATCGGGCGAAATTAAATATGGGAGCTATATTTAAATCCGAACCGATTTTCACGTAACTTTGCATACACCATTCTAGACTTAATTCAGTAGGCCATGCCAAATTTCGTGCAAATAGAAAGATATACAGGGACTTCGGTACACCATTTACATAAAATCCGATGAAAATATATATGGGAGATATATCTAAATTTTCACCAATTTTAATAGGGTTCGTCCTTGGGCAATTTAATAAACTGTACCAAATTTCATTCAAATCAGATTATAAATTCGACCTGTACTTTATTTACGATTTAACATCAACAGACATAATACCCTGTACCACTGTGTGCTGAAGGGTTAAAAACCAGGAAGGAAATATCAAAGTAAGACGTAGCCGACTATATGATGCCCTTCACCACATGTAAATCGGGAAGACTTGGATTTTTTGGTGTAACATTTTTATGAAATCCAGCAAAATTATGTATGGGAACTATATCTAAATCTGAACCGATTTTAACAAAACTTCACATTCATAAAACTGGACATAATTCAGTACGCTGTGCAAAATTTAGTCTAAATCGGACAAATATTGGGAGTTCACATAAAATTGGACGAAACTATATATGGGAGCAATATCTAAACTATATATGGGAGCTATGTCTGCACCGATTTAAACAAAACTTCACAGACGTCAACCTGGACTGAATTCAGTAAGCTGTGCAAAATTTTGTCTCTATTTGGGCAAACCTTTTGAGTTTGGTGCAACATTTACAAAAAATCGAACGATGATATATATGGGAGCTATATCTAAATCAGAATCGATTTCAACAAAACTTCACATACATCAAACTTCAGTACGATGCGCAAAAATGTTGTTGAATCGGACAAATATTGGGAGTTTGATGCACCATTTACATAAAATCGGACGAAAATATATATGGGAGCTATATCAAAATCTGAACCTATTTTCTCCAATTTCATTACAGTTGGTCCTTGGGCCAAATTAGTGAGCTGTGCCAAATTCCATCCAAATCGGATTAAAATTTGTAGTATTTGTACTTTACTTTCTTCAACCGGACTCCAAATACCTTGGGGCCTCTTTTAATTTGGATTTTTGGTACCCCATATGCCGTCGATTTTCGACAATTTCCAATAATCATTACTTTCTTGGCATTGTTTTTTATATTTTTTCACGACATCGTCAATCGATCATTAACATTTTCGAACATTCAAAATTAGATCCTCTGCATAGTTCTTCACATTCATTTACAAATTGTCAATCTGTTGACAGATGCTATCTTTCACGTACATACCTACATACCTACATACATATGAACAGGCTGCCAACAATTTTCAAATTGATGAATTTCTAAAGATTTTCTCATTAAATTTCTGCTTCTTGTTTTCATTAAAGGTTCCAATGATGATCGTAAGAAACGTCCACGTACCGCATTTTCGGCATCCCAAATTAAGGCGTTGGAAACGGAATTTGAGAGAGGCAAATATTTATCGGTTGCCAAGAGAACGGCATTGGCAAAGCAATTGCATTTGACCGAGACACAGGTAATTAAAAATTTAGAAATTTTTTTCTTGGTGAAAAAAGGTATTTCTCCTGAAATAAATCTGATTTTTTGGATAACCTTAGAACTTCACTATTCATAAATCTGAAATACAGTATACTAATAATTTTCTTTATTTTTTTCAGATTAAAATTTGGTTCCAGAATCGTCGCACCAAATGGAAGCGTAAATACACCGCCGATGTTGAGACCCTAGCTTCGCATTATTATGCCCAATTGGGTATTGGTGGCTTAGCGCGTCCCATGGTTGTAGGAGATCGTCTATGGCTATTTAGTCAAACACCCGCTGGACCAGCACCACTACAATCGATCATGCTAAATGGAGGACCAGCTGCCAATGTTGGTCCCCCTTTGACAGCGGCCCAACTAAGAGCCTATCCTGCCTCAAATCTCTTACCACCCGTACCGAATCCCAATGTCATTGAAAGTGCCCGCAATGCCATATTGGCACGTGGTCAACCCTTAAATTACACTCTCAGTCCATATCTGGCACAACGTTCAGCCGCTGGCACTGCTGCCACACCATCGTCACGCTATTTAGAATATGCCGCCGGTACTCCATCAAGTCTATATCCAAATTCCCCTGCCTCATGTAATGATGCCTATCTACAAATGAAATATAATGTTTTGAATACAATTAATACGCCCGAAGCGGATACCACAACACCGACTTCAAATGGTTTGGCCGAATTGGAGCGAGTATTTGGTGATACAAATGCCAATTTCCTAGAACACAAAGCCAATGGAGAGAAGAGTGGTAAAACATCATCAGATTTTGGTTATAATGGTCTGGCACTGACACAACGTGCCGGTAAATCGACGTCGGGCAACGACAGTGATTCCGAATGCAGTGAAATTGATTGTGAACAAATTGATGATGAATGAAAGCAGGATCGGATCGGAATTCTTTATTTTTAATTTAGTGAAAATAAAATGTTTATTTAATTTAAGACTTTGTATAGTTTAGTTATTTTGTAATTTAAATTATTTACATCATGTTATGTGTTTTGTTAAGAAAAAAGAAATAAAAAATTAGTTTTTATTACGAACGGTTAAGGTTTAAAGGTTTGCTTCATTACAACAAACAGCAGTATAAAATTATGAGCATACTTTTAGGCGTTAAAATATAAATGTACATAAAATGAGCTCAACAATGGGTATTCATTAAAATAAATAAGGCCAAAAGTCGGACGGGGCTTCATCACTTTGGCTACATACCCTTCATCACTTTGGCTACATACAAGATTTTGATAATATGTACAACATCCTGTGGATAGAAAAGACTTAGCATCTTTGGAGGACCATTGAAATGGAATCGAAATTAAATGTGTGACCTACATAGATATTTAAAAAAAAATAAAAAAAAAACAAAAAAAAAACATTTCTTTGGTGTTCCATTTGTTTGCCAGTATGGTGATCAATTTACATAAAATCTGACGAAAATATATGTGGGAGCTATATCTAAATCTGAACAGATTCCAACAAAACTTCGGATAAATCAATTAAGACCTAATTCGGTACTCTGTGCAAAATGTTGTCTCAATCGGACAAATATTGGCAGTATGGTGTTCCATTTACATAAAATCGGACGAAACTATATATGGGAGCTATATCTAAATATGAACCGATTTAAAAAAAAATTCACGGACATAAAACTGGACCTAGTTCAGTATGCTGTGCAAAATTTTGTCTCAATCGGACAAATATTGACAGTATGTTGATCCATTTACATAAAATCGGACGAAACTATATGTGGGAGCTATATCTAAATCTGAACCGATTCCAACAAAACTTCGCATACATAAATAAGTACCTAATTCAGAACTCTGTGCAAAAATTTGTCCCAATCGGACCAATATTGGGAGTTTGGTGCACCATTTACATAAAATCGGACTAAACAATATATGGGAGATATATTAAAATCTGAACCGATTTTCTCCTCAACTTGGCTCACAAAACTGCACAGACGAACGGACATGCCTAGCTCGACTCAGAAAGTGTTTCTATGCATAATCTTAAAAGGAACCATCTCGAGTCATTTTGCTTGTTACAAACATATTCACAAAGACATAATACCGTGGTACAGGTTGGTGAAGTATAACAAGAACAAATGAACCCTCCGGACCATAATACGCAACAAAAAGCCCCTTTTTTGTTTTCCGAGCCCAAAGATGAGAAACAAAAATTTACATGAAGGATCGCCCTAAAAACTCAAAAATGGCAAATTTCAGCCACCTCAGTTAGAATATTCAGATAGGTACTTCAAGGTTTAAATTAAAATGAGCCGAGGCAAATATATAGGGGTATGTCAAAACGTGGATCGATATTGAAAATATGAAAAAAAACGTTTGAATGTGGCTTTGAATGGTGGTTTGAATGTGGAAACATGAATTGAAAAATGCTGCTACGATCTTCAGAATACCCAAAACCGGGCGAGACCGTAATATAATAACCATATCAAAACACGAACCTACGTTGAGGAAGTATTTTAACCTCCGAGAACTTGAAGCGGAACATAGACGCCCAGACCGATATTGGAAATTTTCTGCCAGAAGGTCTTTTATATTCTAAGAATCCGAAATTATAGCCACTTCGGTTGGCGGAATCTATATCTGACAATTTTCGGCAGAAACGCCTTGTAAGAAGCGAACATGACAAATTATCAATCGATATATTCGAACATCCTCTGAGGACCTTGAAAATACCATATCTGGAAAGACTATGTCAAGACATAATCCCATGTTCAAAACCCTATTGAGGAACTTTCTCACCCGCTAATAACTGGGAATACAAAAAATACTGTCACTTAAAATACCAAATATGGGAAGGAGCTATAATATGGGTGCTAGAACAAAACCATGACCGAAGGCCTTTTTTCAATAAAGGATCATAAATTCTTCTTTCCTAGAAAACCGGGAGGCCTTCTTCCCATAGGAGCCCCGAAGATATTCCTCCAAAATAAAACCAAAAGTTCTTCATTCTTAGAAGACATTTTCCATAGAAGACCAAAAGGCTTTTTCCCATAGAAGACCCGAAGAGCGAATGGTCCTCTTCCATAGAAGACCAGGATGTCTTCTAACATAAAAGGTTTTTTTCCTTAGAAGTCCAGAAGGAATTTTTTCCATAGAAATCTAGAAATCATTTTTTATGTAGCGAACACAAAATGAATTATTAAAAAATACTTTTTTTATTATATGTATAACTTTGTTTTATTTTCATTTAGTTTACTCTCTTTCTATATATATTTATTTTTTTATATATTATATATAATTTCTTAACAGTTTTACAGCTACAACATTGAGATTCATTAATTAAATATTAATATAAACTGTATAAAGTAGTAGTCAGAGGATTTTTTTATAATATATATATATTTTTTTTTTTTTGACAAGAGGTGGTGGTCGGTTATTTTCTTGATATATATATTATAAATGTTATAATAAAGGAAACTCAATATCGTAAATAGGAAAAACTAAAGAACTTAAAATGCATAAAACAAAACAATAACTATTTATAATAAACAATAAATACAAATTTAAAAACTATAATGTGGAAATTTTACAGTGTCATTATTATTAATTATATTAAAAAAAAAAAAAAAAAACAATAAAACAAATGCCTTAAGTAGGTATATTTGGTTGATTGGTTTGTTGTTGTTGTTGATTAATTATTAATTGGTGTTATTAATTTATTTCATTATATAGATTTATCAGTTGCTGTTGTTTGTTATGTTATTTTTTATCTTGCTTTACATTATTAAACCTAAAAAAGGAATCATCATTGTTTCAGATATCATTTCATATGGACTAAGACTATGATAAACTTAAAATAATAAAATTCTGTTAGCTCCAGGATAGATCGTATCCCTTCCAATTGACATTCGGTGCTAAATAGACACGTCGTTTATTGTGTACAAATGAAACAATGCCATGATAGGCTGTTCGTGGTACTCCACTCTGAAAAGAAGAAGAAAATGTAAGAAAATTTAAATTTATAAAATGTAATTGATTGATAAATGAAACGCATTTATGTCTAATGGGATATAAACATAGAATAGAGGTAAGAATAAAAATAGTATATTCAAAAATATAAATCTATAATAATGAACAGCAATATATGTAACATATTAGGAGAATCCTCCTCATACTGTTGGCGATTGTCTCAATGTTACATACTTTCTTATAAAAATTAAAAAAGACTACCTCTTTCTTAAGTATTTTTTATATTATTTTTTTTTTAATTAAAACTAAATACTCACCTTAAAATCATCCATTAAACCTAACATTTTTGTCGTCCGCTTGTATACATCTCGCGAATTATATTGTATACGTACGGGTCCATCTCGTGTTATGAGATTTCGTCTTAATTCATCATAGGTAACTACAGGATACGTGTAGACTTCTTTTAAGAATGTCCGATCATAATTATCCTATAAATGAAATTAAAGGTTATTGAGATTTTGAAATCAATCAAGTGGTATATTAGGTGCGACTCACCTTTAGTAGATAACTTAAATTCATTTTTGTAAATGGAACAAATTCTTCACTTAATTTTATGTAACGTAGATATTTATCAAAGAACAGGCCGCTGTAATGTAAAGATAAAATATACAAATTATTAACACTTTTTTATGATAAGATAAATGTTTTAAATGTGAAAATAATGTAAATGAGTCTCTATACAAAGGTCAGAGGTATGAAGCAACAACGAAGATATCATGTGCTGTTGAAAATTTACTGATAAATTACTATTATTATAACAATTGTTAGTAACAACTGTCCACTCGGAGACTATTGTCCCATGAAATCATTCTTTACACCTGAAAAGAGAACGGGTAGGGAAGAGAGAGCGGAAGAGAAAGGAGAAGATAGTAGGAGAAGGAGAGCTTAGAGATGGTTATTTAAGCCATGTCAGATTTTTGACAAAGCCTAGGATCTGGTTGGGGTCTATTTTAGAGAAGAAGGCTAGACTATGAATTTCATATCTTTCAAACTGTTTATATCTTCTGCCAATCAGCGATGTACATCTACAGACAGACATCTACTCCTCTTCGTCCTTACATAGACGACAGTAATCTTCTCCGCTGGAGTCCCATTTCGAAGTGAGAGATCTAATCCTGCAGTGACCTGTTATGATCCCCACAATGATTTTGATCTCTCTCTTATTATGTGCCAACAGTGAAGAAATTCTTAGGCGAGAGAATTGAGGCCAGACAGCTTTGAGATTCTGCAACCAGATTCTCTCGTCCATCTGTTATCGACTACCACGCCGTAGAACAAACGGATTTTGCCAATGAAATAGCCAATGGGTGGTTGCACTGATCTCTCAATCGGAAGATTGGACGACTGTGAACCCCTTCTATGTCACTATGTCCTGAAAGTTTGTAGTACACCACTTCAAAACCTTGAGGGCCGCCTGACTATCGATTATATAGTCACCGGTCCCGTATTATGAGTTGTATATTTCTAATACCCTACAGTAAACGCCTACACCAGTGCCTTCCTCCATCTTTGACCCTCTGTGAAGAATGACAGCCCTGGCAGAGGTAAAGAGCCACTAGTTCAGGATTCCCTACTAGGAAACTCTACTTTGATGTCATTAAAGTCTCTATGAGAGGGAGGGGATCACAACCTGGCGTTATGTTGAGGATACTAGCGTGACCATAGTTCAGCGATTTCCAGGCATCCGTTTCTCGGAGCCTCAGGGCACATCTGGCCGCCAGGAACTTTATCAGAATGTCCAGTGGTTGGAGATTCAGGATCGCATTCAAGGATGCCTGTGGTGTACTTCTTAGCGTTCCGGTAGTCAGGATCGAAGCCGATCGCTGTACTGAATTTGTCAGCAGTATCTTTTTGTTGATCCCCTGCCACCATCCAATGCATCCA